AATGATTTCTGCTTCTGTGGCCCCCCTCCCAAGTTAACACGGGGAACGAGATTGCCATGAAAAAGGCAGTTGGAGGGACTCAAGTTAGAGAAAAGGGTGAGGAGGAGGATGTTAAGGACCAGGTGAGTCAGTGTCAGTGAGCTATAGCCCCAGGCACTGCTGCGATAAGCAGATGGGAAGAGCTTGCTTCGTGGCCGGAGGCCTCCAGACCTGCCTGGGTGTAGTCAACAGGGCAATTGGTTTGGCCTCATTTGAGGACATCCCAGTCCTTAGGAACCACAGCGGCTACAGGGGTTCCATTTAATACTAGTATTAATATTTCAGGTCTCCTGTCTCCTGTGAGTAGCAGATTTATAAATCATTTCTTAGTGTGGGTTACTTTTGTAACAGTAGCAGAGTGTAATACCAGAGCTAGCTGTGTTGCCAGGCCTTTACATTAATCAAGTCATTTGTAGTCACAGTGACCTGACTTTTTCCACAAATTCTGGGGGCATCTTATTCCATCACTGTGGATTGGGTACAAGTGAGTTAAAAGTGAGCATTTGGAAATTTTCATGAATATTTGCGATGTCCCTGTGTAAGAGGAATATGTTTTGAGCGTATGTCTACTGTAGGCCCCTCTTCCTTCATTGTCATCAGGGGCTGTACACCTTGGGAGCTCTCATCTCCATGCTCTTGTATATGCCACTCAAAACCATTGTGAGTATTTATAGGACGAAGTTAAGTTTTCTTAAGAATATCTTTGAGGATCCCACCGACTGGAAACTTCTAATTCAGGGTTTGTACTTAAGTGAAGGTGTAATTTATAATAGAAAGTGATTCGTTTTAAGTTTTTTATTATGCTACGTGTAATAAAATACTGTTCTTTTAAAAAAATATATTTATTTATTTATTTGGCTGCACTGGGTCTTAGTTTTGGCATGTGGGGTCTTTGTTGTGGCATGCGAACTCTTAGTTGCGGAATGCACGTGGGATCTAGTTCCCCAACCAGGGATCGAACCCGGGCCCCCTGCATTGGAAGCGCGGAGTCTCACCCACTGGACCACCATGGAAGGCCCTAAAATACTATTATTGACAAATATTTTCTCCCTCCCCCTCAAAACTTTATGGACCCTTTTCACTCATTGGTCTGTGCTTTTTTTTTTTTTTTTGGTCCTGATACTTTTGTCTTTTTTCCTATCCCTCTGCTCTTTCTGGCTGTGTAGAATGGTGATGAGCACTTCAAAGAACGGCCAGTTCTGTAGATCAGCACCTGGGCCTGGTTCGGCAAGACTCCGGCTGGCCTTGCTGGGGTCGCTCACGCAGTTGTGGTCATCTGGCTGCTTGCCTGGCGTTGAATGGTCCCTCGTAGCCTCGCATGCCTGTCGAGTGGATGGTGCTGGGTTGTCAGCTGGTGTGCTCTCCATCGGTGGCCGTTCAGGAGGCTAGACTGGGCTTTAGGAGGCTGATTTCCGAGAGGACAGGCTCCAGTGTCAACATGCTTATCAAACGCTCGCTTGCTTGTTTGCCGACCTCCCATTGGCCAAAGAAGTCACATGACCCAGCCCAGAGTCAGAGCGGGACTGACTGCATAAGGGCCAGGGGACCAGGAGGCATGATGGAGCGGGGTCGGGGAGGTCACTGACAGTCTGGTGCAGTGAAGTTAGGGAGCTGGGGAGCGGGACTTTGTTTTGCTAGCTGTAAGTAACAAGTTTGGTGTTTGTAGTTTATTCTGTTTTGCATTAGACTCAGTTTGGTGAACATTTATTTAGTGCTGGACACTAGGGATTCAAAGGATAAGTAAGGCAGTCTGGCTACTCTGAAGTTCATAAAATACTCATGATCTCCGATTTTAAGCAGAAAGTATCCTATTCAGACTTTTATTCATGGCTTTAAATAAAAAGGACAGGAACTGCTTATACAAATCTGTGTTGGGGCCTGATTTTGCTTTCAGAAAATGCTGATAGGTCCTTGGGAAAAAAAAATGGGTTGCCATGATGACTTGGCTTTGGGCCTGCAAACTGTGGTGACGACACGATCACCAAGGAAACCAAAAGGTGCAGTGTCTAAAAGGTCTCTGAAGGCTTTTGTTCCTGTTGTCTGGAACCTGACTGGCTTGGAGGAATGGTGTTGGGGATGTAAGCAGGACCCCAGAGGCTTGCCCACCTACAGGAACTTCTAGGATCGGGCACTGAGTACTTTGGAGGGAGATCTCCTGCTTGGCGCTTGGTTTAAAAACAAGGAGAGAGTTGGGGTACTTTCTAAGTCATTGTGAGATTTGGCTTGGATAATTATGCTGCTGAAAGAACAGGAAATGAGGTAATGTCTTTCAACATGCAGTGTTATAATGAACGGTAAATGTCTAAATATGGGCAGCTGTGCAGTTCATCATTACGTAGTTATTGTGTTGAGATTTAATGTAATTGGGTACTTCCTGTGTTGGCTACTTTGATCCTTACAGACACCCGTCAGTATTAAAGCCTAGAGGCTCACCTGCCTATTGAGTTCGGAGCGTGTGCGGTTCTGTTGAACGTGCTGCAGAGCCGGCGCCAGGCCTTCATCACGCTCAGGAGAGTGAGTGTTGAGCGCTCAAGCCGGCAAACCAGCAGCCCGGAGTGCAAGCTGTCACCTGTTGTGTACATGCTCAGTGCTTGCAGTGGTAACTTGTTCTTTTGGAAAACTTTGAAATCACTTAATTTTGGAGTTAAGTCCAGCCCACAAAAGTTTAATTTGTTCATACTTTTTTGCAGGTGTGTAAATGCAATGTTTAGGTTTTCCATTTGTATCTATCTTCGTACATATATGGAGCATCGAAAGCAGCTGAGCAATAATTGAAAGAACTAGAGAGAGATTTTTAAAGTTCTTCACAATGGTGACAGTTTGGGGCATGTGATTTCTTAAGTCATTGGTTGACCAGTGACTGTTTAAAAAATATTCTGAAATATCTTGTAGAGCAGGATGAGGTAAAAGACTCCTTTCCAGGTGGGAAGGAGTAACTATTTTCAAGTGATATAGATTATTTGGGGGAGCAGGATTGGGGGGCAGTTGGATTAGTCAGCCGGTAAGCATCTCGTATTAACCTTTCACACAGGCTTGAACAGGAAGGACTCTGAGTTCCGTCCTGCAGTGGAAGGTTGAGAAAGGAAGTCTGCGGCCTCCTGAGCTCTGTGACTCCAGAGGCTGAATCCAGAGCACCTTTCCTATGAGAGGTTCTCAGGCTTTCAAAACTCGGTCAGTTAGCAGGATTTCCTATTTCATAGCTGTTAAAACTGAGGATCGGTGAATAGTTAGGTCAGTCATTGAAGTCTCCTGGCCAGGGCCCAAGGTTGCTTATTCTTGGGATTATATAATATAGTGGAAAACCTCAATATTTATTCCCTTCCTTAGGAAATATCTAGTAGATAAAACCAAAAATGAAACAATCTGACCTTTGATGACTCAGATAGTAACTCCACAGCGGGAAGGAGTTAGGGCCGAGCACCAGCCTTGGGCAGGTGATGGGCATCAGGGAGCCGCACTTTCCTCGCCTGCAGACTGGTCTCTTAACATTTGGGGGAAGGTCACAGACACCTTTGGGAGTTTGAAGGGCGCTCTGAACCCTTTCCCATGAGCGGGGGGGTGGGGGGGGTGGGGCAGGGAAATGTGCACAGAGTTCTGTGTACATTTCCAGGGGATGTTCTTACGATCCTGTTTAGCTTTAAAATCTAAAGATGCTCATAGAGTGATTAAGCCTTGTTTCCTTCCCCTGGAAAATTATTTTTGGTGACCTAATTCTAATTTAGGGGAAAAAAAAGAGATTATACATGTGAAAAGGTGGTTTTCAATTAGTGCTGGTTAGGCTATGCAAAGCAGGCACTTATGTATTCTGCTGACCACTTTTCTGGAAAGCAGTTTGGCGGTAATGTGCTGAGATACTTTACAGAGTTCATATTCTTTAACTGAGCAATTCTGCTTGTCAGAAATCTCTCCTAAATAAATAATTTCAAAATAGACGAAAACTTTGTGCACAGAGATGGTTGTCAGAGTGTTATAGTAATGCCCTACATTGGGGAGGTAGGTAAAGTAAAGGATAGCATATCAGTAAGATAGAATTTCATGTGTGTTGCTATTACACTTATATTTAGGAATAGTTTTGAATAACATAAGAGAAATGCTTTTATTAAAATGCATGAAAAAAGTTGGATATGACCTATGGTCTCAAATGATGTAAAAATTTTAAAGGAAAAAGTCTAGAGGGAACTCTACAAATGCTAACAGTCATTGCTTGTAGGTAGTAGGATTATGGGCTTTTTAATCTTTTATTTTCTGTATATGTCCTTTGCAGTAAATGTTAGGTAGAGAATTGGGGGGGGAAATATGATTCTGGAAAAATGATAGAACATGGAGATAGTCTGGCAATAGAGACCTAGCTGATTCGAGAGTCAGGTTTTAGGTAAGCTAAGAATTGACCTTTTACTTCGATTATTCCCTTGGACTGGATTTCATCACGGCCAAGGGGGGCCTGGCGTCTCCTCGGAAGACTTGCTGGGCGTGTCCTGGTCCCTCTCAGTGCACTGCTCGGTGCCCTCGAGCTCGGACAGTCCTGGAAACCTGTGTGTGGCTTACTTTGTCGTGCTGTTGCGTTGTCTTCCTTCCGTGATAAGTCGTTTGTGTTCGTGTCACCTGGAAGCGGTTCTGGAGCAGAGTCATGAGGGGCAGTGAAAACACCCAGCGCTGAACTGCTGCACCACCTGCGCTCCCTCACACTAGTTTCCCCTCATTTCCCTCCAGTGTCGGGCTTCGCAGAATCTGGGTCTGAGACTTTGCCTGGCCTGTTAAGTCACAGAATTAGGAATGGGGGCTTAGGAACCATTTTGGATGTATGTTTTTGTATACGATGCTTTTCAGTTATTCTAATTTAAAGAAAGCTCCAAGACCTTTGATTTTAATTCCACCTCATCTCTCTTCCAGGGCACTAATAAAAGAACTTTCCTCTGGGAAGTGGAAGTTGCTTCTGACCGATTGCTTCTGAATCTCTTTAGGATTTACAGATGGATTCCATGGAAAAGACAACAAACAGAAGTGAACAGAAATCAAGGTAAATGAAGTCAACTGCACCCTCAAACAGGTGTATAGCTTCCATCACAAGTCTCCTTATGTGTTATCTGGTACCTGGGAGGGTGAGCGAAGTGAGAACACCAGCTGGGGAGGGCGTCTCCGGGGCCAGGTAACTACCCTTTGCTCCAAAGTAAGGAACGTTCGCAGAGGCAGCTCTCTTTCTGTCCAAGGAGGTGACTGTCGCCTGGCCCCATGCCGAGCAGCAGGTGACCAGAGGGTCACATCTAAGGCTGGGGGTGCCACGTTTCACGGGAAAGAAACCTCTGACTGGGAGTGGGCGGGTTACACTTCTGTGAAGTGACGCAGGAGAAGGAGGTGCTTGCCGGGGGGTGGTTGCAGAGGACCAGCATTTTGCCAGGAGTTTTCTTTTCTGTCCCTGTAATCAGGGATCATTTGATCACCATAGTTTGTATTTACAAGAGCCCTTTGCAGTTTTAAAGGAATTGAAATTGCTGAGAGTTCTTGTTCACAAATACACATCACTTAAGCGTGTGCTCAACACTATAGGGGACTCGAGGTGAATAAGACAGTACTGTCCCAAGTCCCTTAGGAATGAGGATAGAACATGTGAGATTAATACACAAAAAGAAAAATACACAGGCTCCGTCTTGCGCTTAGTATAACTGGGGGGGACGTTGCGTGTGTGTTTGTGCCCAGCACGGGCTGGGTTTGACCTGATGCCTCACGGATGTTCCCAGACTGCATTGTTTTCTTCGTGGTTGCAGTTCTTCCACGTTGGCTTTCATTCTTTCCCTCCCTTGTTTTTAAGTAGAAAGTTTTTAAAAAGCCTCATCCGGAAACAGCCCCAGGAACTGCTCCTGGTCATGGGGACGGGAGTCAGTGCGGCCGCGGCCCCAGGGATCCCCGCCCTGTGCTCGTGGAGGAGCTGCATCGAGGCCATCATCGAGGCCGCGGAGCAGCTTGAGGTGCTGCACCCCGGGGACGTGGCCGAGTTCCGCAGGAAGGTGACCAAGGACGGGGACCTGCTGGTTGTCGCCCATGACCTGATCCGGAAGATGTCCCCTGTAAGTCTTTTCACACAAGTGTGTCAGGTCTCACTGGGGACACCTTGGCTGTGGGTTGGTGAACGAGTCTAGCGTTTAGATCTCTCCAAGCCTGCATCGTGTCTGTTTCTCACCGAGTTGGGCTGACAAGCCAGAAATCTTTCAGTTCATCAGAATATCGTCCCTTTAAACAGAGGGGGTGCCGAGCACAGTGTGGGCTCCTAAAACAGTCCTTGTTAAACAGAGCCTGGATAGGGGGCTTGTCTCAGGGAGGTCGCCGTGCTGCTTTGGGGACCAGCTTGTGATCTCACCCTTGTTTAGCGAACGGACAGAGCAGCCAGGTCTGCGTTTGGTCCAGGCAGGCCAGCCGCGTTCCTTCACACAACCGGGGCTTCCCAGACATCGTAAGGTGGGAGAAGACAGAGCTTCTTTGTCTGCAGGTGGAAAGGATCCAGCAGAGGAAGAGC